GTCTCGTCAGGAATGGATATCCGTGTTCTGCTGTAGACCAGGTTGAATTCGATCCAGACCTGCTGGATTTTAAATGGATTCGAGTGGAAGAACAAAACCAGCATGTTTTTCAGACCGCAGATTCAGAGTTTTGTGTTGTTTGGCTGTAAAGGTCTTGATTTCGGTGAGAATAATGAAGTGTTTGTTGACACCTCAAACCTCATCAGTTACACGCTAACGAGGAAACAATTACTGTCACTGTCACTGGCTTTCAGGAAAGATCCGTCTGGTTTAATGATTTAACACAGCGATGAAGAGAAGGTTTTGTGGTGTTTGGGTTGAAATGATGGTGTTTAGAGACTCAGGTGTGTTAAAAACTGCTGAAACCTTTCACTGATTCACCTTAAAGTCCACATGAAACTCGCATTTACTTTTCTAATGTGACGTTTGAGGGTGAAATTGGGATTTATAACAAGACTTGTTATTATCAGAATTGTTATTGTTAACTAAAACTGTGAAAAGCAACATTTTTTAAAATAAAAATTGAAATAAAGATGAATTAAAATTCTATTAAACATTTATAAATCTAATAAAAATGGAAGCTAAATAAATAATTTTGAAGTTGAAGTACTAAAACTGAAATAAAACTACAATTAAATTACTTTAATGAAAAGTGAAAATATAAAAATAAAAGATAATTCAAAAATGTATGAATAGAATGCTATTAAAAAATACTATTAAATTTTTTGTTAATTGAAATAAAGATGAATTAAAATTAAATGTATCAGATAAAAAACCTACACTTAGAAATGAGTTAAATTCTATAAAAATAAAAATAAAACATTTGGAAATCTAATAAATCTAGTTAAAAACTTAGAAACTAGCTATAAATTAGAAAGTACTAAAATTACTAAAACTGAAATAAATGAAAAATAAATATTTAAATACTAAATTCTAAAATGTACTTTAATACTAAATTGAAAAGTGAAAATGTACAAATGAAGCCAATTCAAAATATTAATAAATACTATAATAGTATAAAATAATACCAAAATAACTGTGGTTTTGAAAATAACAGTAATTAGTGCTAAAAAAATTTATTTAGTACTAAAATTTATAAAATTACTAAAACTAATAAAAATAAATTAAATATAAATAATTAAAAATGCCAAAACTACAATCACAAAATGATTAGTAATTAAATTTAATTAAATTAGATTAGAAATTTCAGTTAGTTGCTAAGACAACATTTCTAATTTTTTATGTTTAAGTAAAATGAAACAACCACAAAATTATTCAAACTAAAATAAAAAGTGAAAATATAAAAATAAATGCTAATTCAAAATATTAATAAATATTATAATAGGTTATAAATAATACTAAAATAGCACAGTATAATGGTAAAAAAAAATTAAAGTAAATATGAATAAATATGAAAATGAATAAATGCTACATTTGCCATACACTGAAAAAAAAAATGATTCACTGAATTTACAAAAAATTTTTAAGGTAAGTGGTTGCAATCAATTTATTTTAGCTACATTTAAATAAATTTAGTTGACTAACTTTCACATTTTTTTTAAATTTAAATGTAGCTAAAATAAATTGTTTGCAACTGCTTACCTTAAAAAAATGTAGTATAATTTTTCTTTCAGTGTGCACACGCGCACGCACACAATGACTGCAAAGCAATACAATGCAAAAAAAAAAAACACACAATAAGGTCCCATTAGTTAACATTAGTTAATCCATTAGAGCCTTACATATTTATTACTCTTGTTGATTTTTGTAAATAAAAATGGACGTACAACTTTTGATTTGAATAATGTATTAAGAAATGTTGAAATAAACACGAACTGAGATTAATACATGCTTTAGAAGTATTTTTATTTTTCATTGTTAGTTTGTGTTAACTAATGCAGTTAACGGTTAACAAATGAAAACTTTTAGTAAAGGGTTACTAACCATCAGCAGTATTTGTGGTACTGCATTTAATTTATTAATGCAACTATACCACATATCTAGAGAAAATACTGAACTCAAAAATGAGGTACCGTGTCCTAACAAGGGGCGAAATATATGCATTATAACAAAAAAAGCCAAATTTAAATGCTTGTTTTTCTTTTTGAAAGAAATATGACCTGGACATATTTTTGTGAGATTCAAACGGACAGCAATGACTTTCCTAAAGTAAACTTTGCAGGGTAAAGATAGTTTCCTCATAATCGTTAGTGAAGGCCCAGCAGAAACACAGAAAGACCAGGGAATTATTTATGAGGAGTTTTTGTGTCTGCTCATAAATCCTGACCATCATCAGGCTTCACTGACCTGTTTTACAATGCTATCCCAGCATGCCCTTTGGTTCTGGGTGACTGCCCACAGAGCCAGAACATTCAGAACCATCTAAAGCGCCCTGCTACTGCCTCGAACTGCTAGCAATGAACTAAATAAATCTAAACGAACCCCAAGCCTACTTTTATTAATTAAGGCTTGCTGTGGGGAAATGACCCCTGATTTATGGAGGCTGATATCGACCTGAGCACTGCAAGGGAGACATAGAAGTTGAAGGGAGGACCTGATGGAAACCATATGGCTTCAGTTGACAGACTAAAAAAAACACTCCCAGCATTACAAAACCTCACCACCTCACCAACACATAATACAGAGCAAACAACTAAAGATACATTCAAAAATTTAAATTTAAGATAAAAAAAATAGGTTACAGTACACAAAATGCACCAAACATAGCAAGATATTTGAAATATATTTAGCGCGCACACACACACACGCGCACACGCACACATTTTAAATATAATAATTTTAAATGAGAAAAATTAATAAATATGTGATTGCTATTGCTTAACAATATTCAAAAACTCACACGGCAAACTATTGTACACACATTTAAAATCATCTTAAATTAGAAAAATTTTAATACAAAAAAAAATAAAAATTATAATAATATAAAAATATATTGTTGTTGTTGTTCTTGTTTTAAGTCAGTAAATAAATTGTATTTGCCAGGAACAGGAATTATCTGACCTCGTCAGTGAATCTGTGTCCGCTGATGTTCAGAGAACGAGCAAAAGCAGCAGCAGTTGCACTGAAATGATGGGGCTTCTGCACGACTCCTGTTTTACTGCATGCTTTCTTTTGACGGTCATTAGCCGTGAGCTTCACGCGGCAGCGCTGGAGTGTGTTTGTTTGTGTGTTGTTTGACTGCGAAGGGCTTTGTCTGCGGCGACGAGGAAAGGCGCTACTCCCACATTCACCGTCGCCTAGCAACCGCGAAGCACAGATTGGCGGGAACATCTGTCGCGGCCGGCGCTGCCAAATCTGTGTTGTGTAGTAAACACGAGTGGAGACGGCTCTGAGATCAGACTGAAGCGCTGGTTTGGTGACCCTGACGGGACGTCCTTGTGCACCGCTATCGCTTAAAAATGTATCAACATTTGTTGGTTTGTGTTTTATTCTGTTAGCCATCAGCTCTGAGGCTCTCGCTGATCCTGAAAATCTCACTCTGACAGATGAAGAGAGACTGAAGGAGCAAGTTTGGAGGATTTTATGATAAATTGCTTGTGATGTTCCTCGTTTGCATGAATAAATGTGAGTGCAATGCAAATGTGATTAAAGAAAATGAATCCTGTTGTAAAATGTCAGTCAATAAAATGCATCTTTTAAATAAATGTTGCAATTGATATTATTAATAATAATAATGTATAATAAATTATGCATGTATTACATTTTTATGTAGACACACACACACTGCATATCATTAAAATTTACATTTCTTCCTTAGAGGATGTTGTCTTACCAAAGCAAGTTGCAAGAAAGATTTTTGCATTGATTCCTTCAGGAACCAAGATGAATGTGTGCGTAGAAGAATAAAAAATCAATGCAAATTAATTTAATGGCATTAATAGAATAGACCAAAAGTATTGTGCTTGTGCGAGTGTGTGACAGCTTACGCTTTATAGATTGATCATGGCTCGAAGGCCAGTGATTGCATGGAACATCTTAAAAATGAATTTAAGCCAGCGGGGAGATCAGAGCAAATGTGTATTCCTTTCATGACTTTGAACGAGTGACCTGCTAACTGTGCGATTTCAGTGAAAAGGTCAGGTGTACACCTGGGCATTTTAAGTTGTCTGCAGCATTGCTGTAATCCCAGATCTGATGTTCTGTAAGTGCCAGGGTCAAGGTCATGTGTTGTTACCACTACTTGGGTTTCAAAACCCTTTTTCTTGTAACATTTCATCAGCTCACCATTTTAATTTATTATTTTAAATGGAATAGTTGCCCAAAAATAAAAATTGTCGTCATTTATGTCACTCCAGACTTGTGTGAAATCTTCATGTTGTTCCAAAATGCTGAAATTCCACATTTTGCACTGAAAACCAGATGTATTATACATTTTGCATAAATGAAAATACAGAGTTACTATGGTTGGGTACCAAAACCCGGTGCCAATATGGCACAGGTACCTTTATGTACCAGACCGAATCAATGCAGATTTCGGTGCCACTAAGGCCCTGTCCACACGAACAGGGTTATTTTTTAAAACCGCAGCTTTTTCCACGCGGTTAGGCCGTTCGTCCACACTCAAACACGGCACCAGTTCACTGAAACCGAACATTTTTGAAAACTCCTGCTAGGGTGAAGATTTTCAAAAACTCCGGTTGTAGTGTTATCGTGTAGACAGCGAAACCGGAGTTTTTGGCTTGTGACGTCGTCGGAGCACGCGCTGTTATCTCCGCCTACTGGAGACTTTTTCAGGCATCTGATTGGCCAGCATGGCTTTACGGTTGAGATTATATCGCCACCTGTTGGTTTGGCATGCTCTTGACAGCGCTTCATAGCATGCGTTTGTGTTTTCATGTGGACGGAGTTTTTTTAAAAACGGAAGAAGGAAAAACTTGTTTATAAAAATACCCGTGTACATGTGGACATGGCCTCAGACTTGAGCTCTGGTGTTTCTGCCGTCAGTAAATCAGTGTCTTCGCTCTGCTGTGTTCGATCAGGACCCAGTCATGCCGAGGTGGAGACGCGCGAGTGTTTGTACTTCAACATTAACTGGGAGGTGGAGAAGACGAACCGCAGCGGCGTGGAGCGCTGTGAGGGAGAGAAGGACAAGCGCTCGCACTGCTACGCCTCCTGGAGGAACAGCTCCGGCAGCATCGAGCTCGTCAAGAAGGGCTGCTGGCTAGACGACTTCAACTGCTACGACAGGTCAGTCGTGACACGCTTGACTAGTACTAGTCATAACTCATCAGGGGTTAATGTCCCACCTGCAGGGAACTTATTAGAGGAAACTAAAAGCAGAATTTTTGTTACTTAAAATAAAATAAATGTTAACTGAAATAAAATATGTATAAAAAAACAAACTTAAAATTATTTTATTTCAGCTGGTTAATTTAGTGTAGTTTAACTTAATAACTAAAACTAATGCATGAAAATAAATAAAAATAAAATGAATAAAAAACTAATAAAAACGACAGAAACACACTACTAAAATAACTAAAAATAATAAATAAAAAAGGAAAAAGTAATAAAGATGACGAAAACACAACAAAATTACTAAAACTTTCCAAAATAAAGTGAAAATGTAAAAATAAAATCTATGTAAATAAAAAAAAAAGAAAATGTCAAAATATTTTAAATTAAAATAAAATATATTAAAATGTTAAGAAGAACTATAGTAGTTTATAAATGATACTAAAATAACACTGCATTAATAATAATAATAATGTATTTAAATATATTTCATAATAAAAAATTGATATTTATATAATAATTTATGTACTTAATAATAATAATAATAATAGTAATAGTTAAATAATAATAGTAGTGTCATAAATAATATAAAAACATACTAAAATTAAAGTGAAAATGTAAAAAAAAAAATAATAAATTCAAAATCTTAACAAAACTATAATAGTATATCAATGAGTCAAAAATAACATTGCATCATTAATAATAATTTATTTAAATGCATTTACTAATAAAAATTAGTTTAACTTGTACTAAAATAATTAAAACTAATGAATGAAAATAAATAAAAATAAAAATAAAATGAATAAAAAACTAATAATAGCGACAGAAACGCACTACTAAAATAACTAAAAAATAACTAAAAATAATAAATAAAAAGGAAAAAGTAATTAAGATGGCGAAAACACAACAAAATTACTAAAACTTTCCAAAATAAAGTGAAAATGTAAAAAGAAAATCTATGTAAATAAAAAAATTAAATGTCAAAATATTTCAAATTAAAATGAAATATATTAAAATATTAAGAAGAACTATAGTAGTTTATAAATGATGCTAAAATAACAATGCATTAATAATAGTAATGTATTTAAATATATTTAATAATAAAAATGGGTATTTATATAATAATT